GAATTCTAGAGTTTTGCATTGTCTCAGATCAACACGGCTATCAAATACACCCCTTTTATCAATATCAGCATATAGTGTTAGCCTCAGATGCTTCCTGAGGCTCCCACATTGAGGCCTTTAGCTTGTTGGAATCGTGATGAGGACGTATGAAAGTGATGTGAAAGTATGCAGAAAGGGCCAGGTGTGGGCAGTTGCTCTCCACAGCTCACAGGGGTTTGAAGTAAAAAAAAACAAAACCAAAAAAAACCTGGTGCTTCACATGGCTCCAAAACTGCACAGCAGCAGGGGCGACGCGTAGGGGGTGCACGTGCACCCCCTGAACGTGGTGGCGCACCCTGTGCAAAAAAGAGTCGCTGACAAGGTTGGCGGTGCCTGCGAGGAGTCACCATGCGCCATCCCACCGCGGACACCTCTGGTAGTGTTTGCGGACGGTCCACAATTGCCACTGGGCGCTGCTGCCACTACCAGCGCTACCTGTGGGTCGTTACCAACCCCTGGTCAGTGTCATTGTCCTGTCATCCGTCCCTTCCCCCTCCTCCTCCCCCCCCAACAGTGCTGGCACCGTATGCGGGAGCTCCCAGCTTACTGCTGCCATGCTCCCGCCACTGCCAGTGCATCTGTGCTGCCACTGGGGGCACATGCCATTCATGCACAGCAGTCTGTCTGTATGGCAGGAGGATCTTCCCAGTCTTCCAGGCACTTACCCGCACATTTACCTTACCTCCTGAGAAGGAAGCAGTCCTTAATTAAGCTCTCCACAGAAGATAAGGTCTTATGGATAGTATGTATTTGTGGAGAGCTCCTGATCTTCACCTTTGTAAGGAAAATGCTGATTTGGAGGGTAAATCTGTACTCCAGTTGTTCAGCTGAATCACCGAGCACTGCTCCAGAGAGGCGTGCTGCCACAATTGAATAATAAATGCTTATCAGCCTTGCTTCCTGTGGGCAGCATTTTGAACTAAACTCAGATTAAATGCATGCTCTATTATGTCATTCCTCTGGGTTTAAAACTATGGGTAATATTTTAATTGCACATTTTTCCTCCTGTGGAAACAGTTCTCTAGTTTACTGAAAAATGGATAGCATGATTCTTAATCCTAAATCTCGTAGCATTCCTTAAGTGAGAGACAATGAAATCAGCTTTAGACCATACAGGAATGAGTAACATATTTATTTTTAAAGTCAAGTCCTTGTCTAGCTTCAGGAATAAATATGATAAGTGAATTAATCCAGCTAATTCAAGATTAAATTTTACTAATTCCAGTAAAGTACAGATACAAGCTGAAATGGATGAAATTGAAGATATCTTCAACACAAACAGGTTTTACTGTTTTGTGGCAAATATATAAGTTAAAGAGTTGAAAAGTCCCCATTGCTGTGGTGAGTTTACAGTGTGTGGTCTTCTGCTATATAACTCCAGATGGACTATTGTTTCCCTAGTGAAATGCAAAGTTTTCAAGTTCACATACAGACTATAGAGCGCCCTAGATTGTTAACTGTTTTGTTCTTAGAGAACATTGCTTTTGCATAACTCTCTCTCCAGCTGTGCCAAACTTCACTCACTTGCAATAAATATACCACTATGTAATGTATTAATAACTAATCTTCTTAAAAAAAGACTGCATGGTGTAGTTTCCCCAGAAATATTAAAATAAATGTTGTCATTTAATTACAGCAGAGGCCATTATAAATGAGATGATACGTAGTGTCTGCAACTCACACACAGAAAAGCTGAAGCATAGAGGTTTAGGGGGCATGGGCATACAAGGGAGTGGATGTTAGATTTGAGGATTAGAATTTAGGGCTGTTTGGTTTGCAGGCCTGTGATGACTATGCTAGATGATGTCTCTGCTCTCATTTCAAATAGTGTCCCCCAATATTTTGGAGGGGATCTGAACAAAGAGTGTCAGTGATGAGCTAGATTTAAACCATAATTTCCTTTACTTGAGAGAAATTACTCTCTTGATGGATTCTCCAGGACTGAACATTTGTTCTAGTCATCAGGCTTTCCCCTGTACCTTTACTCACTGTAGCCAGTGGCTTTTCACTAACTCTTGGAAATGCCCGTTTTGTGCCCTTATAGGACTGTTTGAGCATTCTACTGTATTTTACAATTTAGAAAGTACACAAAACCTAGATAGCAAGACTGAATATAAAAATTAGTATTGATTAATTATAAAAGTTATTATTTATAAAGTTATACAAGTTATTATTATTACTGGTTATTTATATAGTTTAAAGATAAACCTTGCAGTTCAGTACTGATTTATATTTTTGCCAGAAGTTGCAATATCTTCCTTTTTGATCTTAACATCTTTCTTCCATTTATACTGTGTAAGCCTTTTGTTTTAGGGTGTTGGAGTCCTTTTTAGCAAACCAGATTATTTATCCAATTCCTGATCAGGCTCCATCCACATAATTGTATCTCTGTTTATATTTAATTCCCACTGTATGTGTTCCAGTTCACCAAATATCATTTATTCTTTCTTTTTTCTTACTCTGCCTTGTCCTTTCAGTGGGTTCCTGGTAATTCCTGGACATAAACCACCTACAGTTTGCATGAGTTCAGTTTCTGCTTTCAGAATTGCTGTTCTTGGGGTAGAAAACCAGAGTGTGCAGACATTCAAACTTTCTGTTGCAGCAAAAATGGCTGATCTAGAGGAAAATAACCCAGGAACAATCAGGTTTAAATAAGTCCCAGGAAAGCATCTCCCAGGGGAGTGAATGTCTACATACTTTTCCCTGGCTTTACTCCTCCAGGAGTGGACCTGGGGGAAAAGGCTCCCATGTCTTTGGAGATCAAGATCATCAGTGTGGAGAAGGTGTGGGGGAGGCAGCTGCTACCTCCTGCCCCCCTGGGATATACTGGGAGGGGAGGGGAGGAACAGTCCTGGCTGCTCCCTGCCTGGTTCTTGCACCTGAGTTTCTGGTATGAGAAGCAGGCTATTAGCTTTGCCACATGGCTCTTTCTGCTCCTCTCCTAGGTACCAGGAGCTGAGTGCAGGGAGTGCGGCCCCTGGCTCCCTTACCACTCAGCTGAGTGGCGGAGTCAGTGATTGACAAGCTGGAGGGGCAGAAGCTTGGGTTTAAGGAAAACCTCTGCATACCTGTCTCCTCTGGCTTCCCCTTGCCCCCCATCCTCCATCCCAGGTGATCTTGAGCACAGCGAGGCAAAATAGGTTGCTATGTGACAGCAGCAAGGCTTGGGGACCTTACTGCCTTGGCAAAATTTCCCTGCCTTACCCTGCAGTGCTCTGGGTTAGCTGCTGTGCCCCTGCCACAAGGCTGTGGGAGTCTTGCTGCAGTGATTTGAGTATTCCCCCCTCCTCCCCCTCCCACAAACTCCTCTGGGCCAACCTGGAGGAATGCAAGGAGTGGGGCTATTCTGTGGGGAAGAACTGGGAAGGTTCCCACCGTGGAAGACTACCCCCCCCCCCCCCCCCCCACCACCCAATGGTGGGGGGGGGGGGGGCCCCCAATCAGCTGATTGGTGGGAGGGGGAGGGCATGCTCTTGGAGCCCGGACCTTCCCTGGTTGTCTGTGGCAGCTGCTGCTTTCAGCTGCATTTGACAGCCTGCCTCCTTCCCAGGGAGGGGAGAGAGCAGGCTGTCAATTAACAGGCTCCCCTAAAGGTTGGGATGGCCCTGGGAGAAGCCCTCTTGTACCCCCTGGCTGGTGAGCTTGCCTGTGAAGCTCTCCAGCCACGGGGCTGGAGGAACAATCCAGATCCTGGGCTGTTTTTATGCTGGAAGAAATTTCTTTCAGTAGAAACAAACGTCTGTATGCAGCCTATATATAACCTAGCAAATTAAGGTTGAGATTTGTTTAACAGTAACTCCAGCTTTAAATATGCTACAAGCATGTAATTTTCAGGGATACTGCAATACCCTGGCTGTGATGAAAGATATAATCTTCCTAATACTTGGGATATATGATAATCAAATGTACTATGTTTAAAAAAAGTCACCATTTAATTTTTGCATTAGAGCATGCGTTGGTGAAGCTGGAGAACATATTGCTTTTTCATATTAATTGAAGGTGGAAATAAAAACCTAATGGAGTATTGGATAGTGTGTTATAGTACTGTAGGACAAATGAAGGTGGCATTTAGTACAGGAAACTACTGATTTCCCTGCCTGTATTATTTTGAGTAGATAGGGCATGTTTTGATCCAACTTTAACTAAACACAATTTTTGTTTGTCTTTAATCTATAACCAGATAGGTAAGCCTCACATTCTCTGTCACTCTTCAGAATTATGTTCTAGGAGGTTAATTATTTTCTTATTCTGAGTGACCTCATTTATCAGACAGTTTTTGCTCAGCCTAAGATTTTATATCCCAGCAGTTTAATTGCCTATTACAGATGCAGTACAAGAAATCCAATTGCAACTTGGATAGGGACTGATGTTGCCAAAAATTACGCATCCTTATATATTACAGGATTTTTTTACTGTCATTCAGACAGTGTTTATAAGAATACATCCACAAAAGAATTTCCCTTTCTTTTTGTAGCACAATATTATCTAAAATACTGTCTTGAAGCAGGCCAATATCTTTCTGAGCCTGAAGGTCACCATGTATGCTCAGGGGAAAGGATTTATAGGACTGTGGTCAACCAGAACGAAGGAGATGCTATGGAAGGAAAAATTTTGTGAAGCATGAAGTATGTTGTATTCGGTGCAATGCACAAGATATTAACAGCAGTCTAGGAAGTCTTTATCATGATGATTTGTTGCAGTGAGCACTCTGCTATGTCCTTTTATTGAGCCCTACTGTAGCTTACTTAAGCAGCATAACTAAGCATCTGGGCAGTGTCAGAAATTGCTTCAAACAGAACAGATCACTGCATATTTTTATGTATAGGGGTTGAAGCAAATAGGTCAGTTTTTTTGCTTATCGTGGAGTAGAGCTGTATGGAAATCAGTTTCTTTTCTCATTCTGTTTTCCTTCAAACCTAGTGTAGAGCAAAAGTGCAGGTGTATTCTTTCACTTGTATCTTAATCGTATGGATAATAAGGTGCTTTATAAATTAGCATGAGAGTATATGAGCTGGTTTATTTGTTATTTATTGCCATATTATGTAGCTTTATAATTATGATAATTTATATCTAATGATCCTATTGATGCAACATTTATCAGCATATTTCACCAAACTGAAGTACACAATGATTTCTTATGACTTTAAGACTGGTACTTTAGCTACCTCTCTACAAAAGAATAATAGTAATATTGTTTTGACGACAAATGATTTTTCTGAAGATTTTTGTTTCTGTATTAACTGGAATATCATGCATCTCAAATGATTAGTTTAAATTGCCCGTTCTTAAAATGTTCTGCACAGTGATCCTCCCCCACCTCCATAAAACATTTGCCCAGGATACAAATAAACAATATTCCAGCGAACGAACCATTTTATCATTAATGTAGGTGACCAGTTAAAGGGACTAGCTGGTATTCAAGAGTGTCTTCTCATTTGACATTGTGCTGGGAACAGATAGATGATGGAAGGGCTCATTGCAGTCAGTAGAAGGGAAACTGAGGAAACTGGTGCTTTGTCCCCTTTTTCATGTGCTGCCTTTGTCTCCCTAAAAGACTGAGAAAATAGCCCAAAATGAATATATACAGTAGAACCCTGATTATTGGTTGGTTGTTTAGTTTTTGTATCTGATTCATTTGCACCCTGATTAATGCGCATCAGGTTGCTGAATTAAGGATGAGTTGCTCAGCTGACCTTTATTTTCAAGGTCAGGGCCTCTCCACTCATCTGGAGCTCATCAATGGCCTGACACAGCTAATCAGAGAAGCAGCACATACCTCTAAATATGTTGGGACAGTAGCAAGCAAAACATTATCAGTATTTTTAAACACAGCCAGGCATCCAAATTGTTCCCCCTTCAGCTCTTAAGAAATAAGATATGAAAGGTAGGAAGCCAACTCCAAGTACTGTCTAAGTTGCTTGGTTTGGTCCTTCCATTGCAGTCATCTGGTTTTGGAAAAACTATGCTACCATTTTTTGCTGAACTAAAAAAATGGCTTTGATTAAAATACAAAAAAGAGCTGGACAAAATGGGAATAAAACATCATGCTGTCCTTCTGAGCAGTATCTATTTGGGAATGGAGATGAGCTTCCTGCTCTTAAAGTAGACTTGAATAAAATATTAAGCATCGTCAAAAGTTTAAATAGAAAATTAAACTAGGAGATATTGTTTGCTATGGTCATTTTATGGGGAGAGTAAATAAAACTAAGCTGACTTGGTCCAGAAGGTTTTGATTTTGTTTGTAGAACGTAGTAGTGTACTGCACAGCTCTTTTCTGCACTGATTGAAGTAATTCTAGAAGGCAGGAAGATTTTGCATGTGGAACGAGATACTTTTGGTATGCAGAATATTTTTTTCTGTCATAAAATTTAATTTGTCATGTCACATGTTCCGACTACGTCATAACATGGGATGTGCGCGTGTTTTACTTCTGAGACAACTGTAGAAGGGATAACAATTTATCTGTGTGTCCTAGAATGAACACCTGCTGCCGCTTTCCATCTTGTAATAATGCTGAGAGAGCACTCGTTTCCCTTTAGGCTGATCTTGTACACAAATTTTATCTTTGAAATAAATAAAAACACAGCCCAGTTAGTAATAACTATAGAAGTAATAAATATGGAAGCTAAAATGATCTGAGCAACAAAAAGTTCAGAAGGTCACAAGTTCTGAAAAAGAAATGAGTCATAAGAACTACAGTTTTTCCAAAGCAAATGTTTTGTCGGTATTCCTTGTATGCTTAGTGTAGATATCATGTGGTTCTATACTTAGCAAATTTGCTTAGAGCCTCGTGTGTCAAAATTAATTTTTCCAGAGAGAGTTTATCTTCTGGAAATGACAATACCTGCCATCAGTAACATCTCTGGGCCTTGGAAATCTCTCTCCAACATAGTTGCCTTTGCCCTCCCTTACAAGGAATCAAAAGATCTGGATTATCTGTTTGTCTTTCTGGCTTTATACAAGAATTAAGGGGTTTTGGGGGGTGTTTTTTGTTTTGTTTTGGGGTTTTTTGGTGATATCTTTTCTTTTTTTTAAATCAGATCTACTATAGAATGCAAGAGGTTTATATACAATTGGCCCATTAAAAGATACCACCCAAAAAACCTTTGCTTCTCCCTGTTTCCTGGACACAACAGTGCTCCAACCCTGCTACAGGATGGACTTGCACAAGTTACTTATGTCCTTTATGCCTCAGTTTCAGCACTTGGGGATTCCCTTCCATTTTGAGAAGCACACAGAGGTCCTTGGATTGACTTCAGCAGTACTGAAATGTGCCAAAGTGCTCTGCTAAACTGGGGCAGTAGAGGCATTGTAAAATCATTGCTGTAATGGCCCCAAAGCCATTATTACAAAAGAAACATGGGAGGTAGGAAGGTCATCCCTTCTGTCCTGGATACATAGAAATCCTAGTACTTTTTGTTTAGGTTTACAGAGCAGTTCATTCCTACCTCTGCTGCACTGTACCATTAAGGGATCCATCTTTAAACTCATGAAAACAGACAAAAGAGTCTAAGAATCCTTACCCTTTGATTCTTCAGAGGAGCTGTCATATCTTGGCAACAGACAGTACCTTGCAGTTTGATACTGTTTTAGATTTTGTAAGTCTGGCTTCTTCACTGACCTCTAGATTTTTCATTGTCCTTTGTAATGGGTCTCATGAAATCTAAAGTTAGAAAAAAACTTCATATTAGAGTATTCAGTCCACTAATTCTGGCTAGAACAGTATTGACTAAATGATATTTAAAAATATTCTTAAGCTTCATACTTTATACAGCTGTATTTGAAATGGAGTGTGTTTTACTTTAAAACAGTTTTCTGCTAAGCTATCTGAAGTAGAAATTAAAAGCAGCCCGGTGACTAAAGACATTTGTTTTTTGGTTCCTGTTTACGGGAGTGCTCTTGAAGCTTTATGCATAATACAAATGAACAGTTCATTATAATGGGGTTCTAAATGACTTTTGGATCACAGGCAGGATTATGAAGCCAGCTGCTGTGGTTATAATACTTTGTCAATTATTTTATTTTATTGTATTTTGTAGCTGATGCTTTTTTCAAAGCTGCAGTGAGCCTTGTTCCTGAAGTGCCAAAGATGATCAATATAGATGGAAAGATGAGGCCCTCTGAAACATTTCTCCTGGAATTCCTTTGTAATTTCTTTTCCACTTTGTTAATTGTTCCGGTAAGTAGCTTAGTGGAAAATGTAACACAAAGCAGTTAATTCCTTAGGATCAAGGAGGCTATTTTTCTTGGTTTATCGACCAGACCTGGTTTTAATATTTCCTATATGTTTTGTTATAAATTCCATGCCCTGTTTATCAGTTGATAAAAACATTCCCTTAATACTATATCGAGGCACATGCATAGTTGTTGAAGTGCAGTGTTACATGTTTCTTGAGCACAGTCCAATTAACTAAAACATCACCTCCACAATTTCAGAACAGCATACCAGTTTCCTTCAAAGGTAAAAACCTATGAACAGCCTCTGTCAAACCATTAGTGAATTCAAGTCAGATTTTATTGCAAAAAAACCCAACAACCCCAAGACGTTTAAATCTGTTAGCATGAATATCCCAGGTGATTTTAATTGTCATGGTGTATCATGGGGGAGAAGGTTTCTGAGAGCAGATCCAACCAGTGGGCTTCTATATCAGCAGTGATATCATGACATGTATGTGGAAGCAAATGGTGAGTGGACTCTTTAAAGCGCAGCTAAAATATACATTCTCTGAAGCTAATGGTGCTAAGCAGGTGGACACAGTAGTCTACTGCTTTCCATTTGGCTCTGCAATATAGAGGAGGAGGGAAACAGAACGTGGTGGTCATGCAATTGCTGATATGTTGTATACCAACTCTACATGAGCGCTTTTCAGCATGGAAACAACTCGGAAGAAGAATGGACCCTCTTAAAAGCCATTGCTTTCATAATGATTTATTTTAACGTTAAAAGGTTGTTTGTTCCTCTTTAGCTTTGGTGTCTGCCCAGTGTAGGTGTTCTTTCCAAAACACATCATTACATGAGTAATATACTTGTTTTTGTAGTTTACTGAAATAATGAAAGAGGGGGGGAAATCTAACTAGTGTGTGTAATTTTGGAAGTTCAGCTATTAAGAAGTTGACAGCTAACTTCTTGTTTAATTCCCCCTTTGATTACGAAGCAAGAGATCTCAAAATTTGTCTGCTAAGGCTGCCTATACTGTGATTATTATAGATCAAATAGACATTATAATTTTCTCTTAATGTGTTTTTAAAGGGGCTTGCTAAGACGCACATATAAAACCAAAACAACTGGTTGACGGCTTTATTTGTATTGTGTTTTCTTCTGCCACAGAGCTGTTATCACTTTTAAGAAAAACAAAAATCCTCTCTGATTGTCTGCCTCTCACTTGTTCTCTAGGACCATCCAGAACAGGGTGTGTTGTTTCTTGTTCGAGGACTACTAAATGTGATCCAGGATTATACTTGGGAGGAGAATTGTGATGACAAAATCCGGATTTATACTAATGTTTTGCATCTGCTCTCCGCAATGACTCAAGAGACTTATATCTACCATGTAGACAAAGGTAAACTATAAGGGTTAGTTGGAGTTCAGTACTCTATAATGTTCTGTTGTGGCATTATATCGGTGATTTGCCAGTGCTGACATTAATTAAAATTGAAGAATTATCCATGTGCAATGGATTATTTTCCTGCACAGTTCTATGTAGTATGGTGTAGAATGATCTTAAGAATTATTGTCCAGCAGGTATCCAGTCCATGATTAAAATAATACTTTATGAAGTATTATTGACCTGCACTGAACATGTGAAAATCCTGGAATTACAACCTACCTTTCTTCAATGGATTTTATCAAATGTTTGGTTCAGAGTCCTTTGTATATTTGTTTGAAATAGTATCTTATTGCAACTCAGTGGTCAACATATGGCATGCTCCCCTCTGTGCTTGATCCCTAGGGGATGCAAGTCTGTTAGCCAGACTTTCCAGCTGAGCTGTGTCTAGCTCTGGTTGTAGAGACTTGCCTTGGTTTACTGTCACCAAAGAGAGCAGCTGTTAGATAAGTACAGGGGTGATTGAGCTTCTTTTTTTAACAGATATTGTCACTGTCTTCCTTCTCCTTCCCAACTCCAAAAGATTGAGGTGAGGATAATAATAAATAATGCAGTCCATGCTGCTGATGGATTCCTTAACTGTAGAGTTTGTGCTTCCTGAAAAGCATGTAACCCTCATAGGTTTTGTCAGAGACTAATATAACCTGCCTCTGTTCATTACGGCATGTGGATTCCAAATAATGTTTACAAAAGCTTTTATTGGTTAGATTTTGCTTTTTTTTAAAAAAAACAAACAAACAAACCAAAAGACTTAAATAACAGCTCAAACCAACTCTGGAGCCTTTCTGAAGTAGAAACTGAGCACACAGAACTGACCGCTCTCAGGAAAAATGCATGCCATTATGGAGGCAGGGGTGTCAAATTTATCCAGATCTGGCATGAGGAGTCAAACGACAGGGCTCTTCATGGACCAGATGTGGACCCACCTACGGAAGCAGGGCAAGTGGTAGCAGCATTAACTACCATGAGTACCTGAGCTGCTGTGTTGACTCAGGGAGCCACAGGGGTTAAAATGCAGCCATGTTTGACACCCCTGCTTTCAAGGGTCCTTTCAACAGAGATCACTTTAATGAACAAAGATGTTTTTGGTTTGCTAAAATAAAGGGGTGTTTTTCCATGTGCTCGGGGTTGCCGCTTTAATTAGAGTGGCTTTCAGAGACGCTTTAATTAAACCCCCTGGAGTGTCTCGTGTATCAGCGTCCCCGTGCTTCAAAATGGCATTGCGACGCTTTATCTGAAGCTTGTTCTGAGCTTTAGATAAAGTGCCCCTGCTGCCATTTTGAAGCAAGACGACACTGATGCATGAGACACAGAGACTGACTTGAGCACAGTAATTACCACACTTCATCAGACTTGATTAATTGATTGTAATTACAGTGCGTTGGAGCAGCCTCCAAGCTTGTATACAAGCACCTAAGGAGAATATCTCTAGCATGGTTTTTCTAACTGTTAGAAGTGCTGGACGGGGCTTTCCTTATCTTCTCATCTTTGGCATGAAATGCCTCAAGGTGTTCCCCTCTGCTTAGCTTTTCTACTTTTCCTACTATGGGGACACCTCCCAGCTGGCTTCAGTCTTGGACATCACTTGTATGTGCGTGTCATTCAACTCTGTCTCCAAGGACTTCCACTCAGATCTGCCTCATCTCCCATCTGTTCATGCATCTTTGTTCTTTGGGCTACATCACTCCCTAACACTAGGACTCCAAAAACTGCCTTTATAGACATAAAAGTCAACTTTAGCATATTTTTAACCCTGCTAGTACTTCTATAAACTTGCTGTGGCAGAGATTACTAAGATTACCAAAATAGGCTTGAACATGAACAACTTTTTTTATAGCTAACTCTGCAGCTGAAGAATTTTAGTCCTATCTCCAGCTTGAGCATTCCTTGCCAGCTGACTTGAGCATTCCTTGCCACCATGAGTGCTTCCTCTGAAGACTGTCCACACTTTCAAAATTATTGGCTTGTGACCAAAGATGAAAATGCTGTCTTTTCCAATATGCCACCTACTGTTTGACCCTCCTTTTCCCTGCTCCTAAAATATCATCTGCATCTCCCTTAAACTTCCTATTCTCTTTCTATTGAGCTGACTTTTTGGTTATTTGCTATGGATATGAGCTTGGGAATTTGTAAACTTTATTTTTTGAGGATCATGTTTGGTTGTTCAGCTCTTTTTCCTTGGTCTTTTAAGAAGTTTTAAACTCATTAAAATATTACACGTAGTTAACCCTGATCTGTCCTGTGGTAATTAAGGGGAAAGGAAGAAAGCATGCTCATCTTTTGAAGATCAAAGAACATGCTGTAAGACCAGCAATCCTTTTTTTTATTTAAAAAGTAATGTTTTAGATAGGTCAGTCAGCCTAAATGATTAGGCAGTCCAACTAGTTGGTGCAGTTCCCAATAGAAATAAATAGAATTTTCCAGCAGAATCACTATCAGAACTTTTAGAATCTATGAAAATAATTCACATCTAGATGTGTAAAGGGTTTTATTTATTCTTTTGATTGAACTGTCAATGTGGTATATATTACTTAATATCTCTAAATCTCAGAATGTAAAGCTCATTCCTGATCTAAAATTCCAGAATGCAGAAACACAGAAGATTATGTACTTTGAAAGCTGGTGTCATTTTAGAGAAGATGCATTGTAACCTACACGTATAAGACCCTGGCTTAAGCTCTGGTATCTTCTGTTTTAAAACTTCAGCTGTATCTTGAAATTTCATAATGGAAACCTCGGTGTATTTTTGTTACAGCAAATGTTAACAGATGCGGTTTCAGTCTTTTATTGACAGGTTGCATGTATCAAGTAGTTGCCTATTAGTGCTAAACAAAATGGTTTCCTTGCAAAAAAAACTAGTCTCATTTCCTAAATGGAAAAATAATTAACTTTTAACTCTGCTAAATAATAAGCATGTTAGCCCACACTGTACACTTTAGACTGAAGAATATGCTTTGACATGGGTGCTATTTCTGGATTACATTTATTGCAATATAGTGACTCCAGATTTATTTCAGTTCTTCCCACAGCTTACTAAATTTCTTGCCTCACACTGACCTTTCAAGGTGTAGAATCAGGCAGAGAGGCTGGAACAAGCCACTTGGAAAAAGGCTTGTTTGATAGCAGTTACCTACAAAGGATCCCAAGTTCCTCCTTTTAATGCTAGGGGACCTGTGCATGAGAGATGGATCACAACTATCTTAACTGAAATGTTAGTCCTCTGATCATCATGGGACCAGCTATATTCTAGTTGAACCCATGGAACTGTGCCATTCATCTCGCTGGAAGCAGGATTGGGTTCTTTGTGGCACCCGTCTCTTGGAGAAGCTTCTAGTTCTTTTGTACCTGTTTCCAGTTTTCACATGGGCAGCTCATTTAAAGGGTAGCAAATGCAAACATTTCCCTACTAAAATTTTAATCTGTATATTGGAGTCATAAGACTGGAGGAGATAGAGGGGTCATATTTTCCAAGAGGCATTTGAAAAAAAAAAATTATATATATAAATATATATGCAGTTATGTTTGGATGGACAATTTTTGCTTTTAAAGCAAAACAGAGAAGCCAGAGCAAGTAGCAGAAGCCCTCGTGTGATCTGGATGGATTCCAGTCACTGAACTGCCAGGTCTCTGACGCATCTTCCTGCTGGCTCTTGGGGTAAGAGCACAACACGCTTTCAGAAAAGAGAAAGAGATCCAAAGTTTAAGTCCCGTTTTAAAGATCCAGGTAACAGAAAAAAGAGACCAAGTTTCCCCTTTAAATTATATCTACTCTGGATTTTGCTTCCTCCCTTTTGTGAAAGATGGTTTAACATATAGAATACACTGATCCTGATGGGGTTCTTTGACCTAAACTGATATTGACCTGATATTGTTGGCACAACCTTACCTAGGAAGGAAAATCAAGAGATTGTTTCCTCCCTGGCATGACTATAGTTTTAGATCATTCAGACAGTGCTTTGATGGCCACCTTAGTTTTGAAAGTTGCTGTGGTAAATTTATACACACTTTACAGTCATTAAAAAGAACAATTCCACACGTGTATGCTGCCAAAAATGGGCATACTTCTGTAGCAGGGAAGTAGGGCTGGGTGGAATTCTGAATTCTACAGTGCCAAATTCTAGCTTGGATTCTGATACCTCCGTTAAGTGGAATCATGATTCTTCCTCTGTCTTGAAAGCTGCGGCACCGTGTCATTCAAGGGTTTTTTGCCATGTGTCAGTAAGCTAGCAGAGCTGGGAATAGAACTGGGGTGTCTTGACTTTTCGGTCCCCTGCTCTAACAGCTGGACAGCTTACTTCTTTTGGCTACACTGATTTCCAGATGAAGTCAGATATAAAATAAATGTTTGTGCTCTTCAGGTAAATGGGCTGCTAAGAAGTCACCAGCCATGACAAGAATATTTCATGGATTTAACAGCCTGGAAAGAACTACTGCTCCATAGCATAGATCTACCTGTAATTTTTCAGTGTGCCTAAGAAAGGGGATGTGATCTTTTCTTTGTCATGTATACAATGGACAAACAGGACTCGCCTCCCTGGAATATTCAGAAATTTAAAAATTTTAAGTGCTTTGAAGTTTTCAGATGACAGATGTGATGTATGCGTTTCCCCCTTTAGGCCTGGGAAACACTTTTGTAGACAGCGCTATATTTAAATGGATATCTTGGAGTGCCTTGTTTCAGAGACAGATTTGTGGTTCAAAAACTGTCAGAGTGATTGTGAAGTACGTCTGAGGACACTGGGGTTTTTTCCCCCCTCCTACATGAGAATGTTATTTATTAGAAATACTGAGAGAGAAAATTAACATCCATAATGACAGCAGATCCTTATTCCCTTAGTGCAGATATGCATCTCTTCTTTCCTGCAGGTGATAAGTAGGTCCATGTGGGTTATTACCTAGAGATCTGTGACATGAAGGAGGAGGATGCTCTAGTAGTCTTGTGTCTTTAATTATGTCATGTATCAACAAAACATGGCAATTCCCTCCAGCAGCTACTGGCTGGTGCACTGAAAGTGCCTGAGGATGGCTAAAGTAAATTCAGCTTGCAGTGAAATAGCTTTCATGCCTGGCTAACTGCAGGTACCATTCAAATGACAGCAGTAGCAAGCAAGCAAGTGAGGTTATAGTGGATTTTGTCAGCCATTAAAACTGTACTGATAAATGAAATTGCCATAAGATTCAGAGCCCCAGTGCAGCAGCAGTCAGGAATTCCTGATGTTTCTGATACAAATGTGTTGGTGTTAGACATTAGGTACTCAAATGCAGACTGTGGGGAGGACAGCCTTCATGTGATGAAGCAGTATTTCCCACCTAGTTCCAGCTTTGGCATCTCCACGGAAGACAGTGATGCTTTCCAATCCCACGTGCAGCTGGGTGCTCTTCTGAGAGATGCTCCTGAAGTTCTCTCACACCTTCAAGGGTGCCTTTCAGCTCCAAACCTCTCTCTGCCATCTCCTGCTGGACCATAGAGAGCAGAATGAGATGCTGCAAAGGTCACCTTTCTGACCTATGGTGCCTCAGTTTTAAGCCGCTGCAGAATTTCCAGTTTCTGTAGAAACAAGAGACAAGTGCTTCAGAGTTCAGGTTTGGGGCCTTGCACACAATCTCACCAACCCAACAAATTAGAAACGTGACAGATTGCTTTTGGTCTGCAAAATGTAGCAAACTGGCTTCTGGTTCTTTGATTAGAAATGGTATACAAGAAAAGACTGAATTACATTGTCTGTTCTGTAATCAGTTTTGTGTTCTGGCTTTTACTGCTTCCAGCATAAGCTCTTTGTGTTACATGTATGTGTAGAGAACTGTGATTTCATGTGCATCTTCCAGGTGAGTAATGGACTAGTAAGCAAATACAAAAGGCAAGGGCATTTCAGAGGGCAGAGATTTTTGTATCTATCCTATGCCTCCCTAAAATATTTGAACTCCTGAGCAATGAGTACTTATTGCACATCTACCTACCACTGTAATTAATGAGTTAGGCTTCCCTGTCATCATTTGAGTCTCATTAATCAATGGCGATGTTCCTTATAAAACCATTCTGGTTATTGAATCTATCCTGTTATTTCTTGTGATTTATCATTTTTTTAATCAGTACAATTATCTGAATGTAATGTCTTCCATGATTTTTCAGGTGATTTCAGGTTTTGCTTTAGAATAATATAATTTTCTAAGTATAGAGAGTGAAAGTGTATCTTTTTAAAAACCTGCAGTAGGCAACGTGTCTATTGTCACAATCCGGCAGTCCTCAGATCATCAAGAGAGTGTTTACAAAAGTGACTGATGTTAAAAGAAGATTTCATATTCATGAAGAACCAGTTTTGCAGCTTCCCAAACCAGTACTGTCTAGATATGTGCTATTGTTTTGTAGTAAACAAACTTTTATAACCATCTAGATTAAGCTCAGATTTATTTATGCTTGCCTCTGCAGTTGATTCCAATGACACCCTCTATGGTGGAGACTCCAAATTCCTAGCTGAAATTAATAAGGTGTGTGAGACAGTGATAACACAGATCCTGGACCACCTCAAGACCCTTGGAAAGGATGAGGTACATCTCTTCTAATCTTTGCTGAAGTGCGACATAAAATCACGTGCAAGGCTAAGTAAACAAGCTGTTCCTAAGGACAGTAGACTGTAGATATGCTTTGACTTTTGGAAAGCCCTGTGGACATTTGAAAAGCTAGAGAGAGGCATATGGTCCTATTTCATTTGGGTATTTATACTGGGATCAGGTAGACAAGTGTGTCAGTGAGGAGTAAAGTAAAACTGATTCTCTTGCTATTTTATTGTCCTGTTGAAGAGATGAGTGTTTAGCTGTGTTCTGTACATGGCCCAGACAGTCTAGTAGGACTGAGAAAATTCTTACTGGCCCTTGTGCCAGCTCAGCTGTTGTTTTTCCTCAAGTTGTAATGCAGGGCACGTTGACAGTTCAGTCACACCAGTGATTTACAGTGCAGGGAAGAGCTGCCCAAGCCAGCTTTACAGTAGGCTGCACCAGTACCCGAGTTAGCTTGCTCTGGCAGCTCAGTGCAGGCTGCTGCGTGGGCAGATTCTGCAGCCTACGCTGACCTCTGTGCTGCCACAGCCAGCCTAGTGCCAGTGCTCCTAGGAGAGCTAGCTTGTGTATTTCTGCAGTATGCTGCAGTGTCTTTGACTGCTGTGTAGACATACGTAGCTAAAGTTTATTCAGCTACCTTCTGCTCTTGTTCTCATTCAGCTGTCAGTTCTCTCCTCATCTAACCCTGTCTTCACTTTTCCCTCAGTCCCAGGTTCTTCCTTCACTGTCAGAACCAAAGTAGCCTTAAATAGACGTTGCTTGAATAGACTAAGTGAGAGTTGACCAGCTAGCCTGCTTTGAACTAAAGACAGTGAAAGCTCCTTTGAGTTATAATAGATCTGAATACCAGACAAAAGCATGACTGCAAAATATTTGCTCTAGGTGCAGGAAAGCAATCATGTTATTTTTAACCTCTTTTGGAATGATTATATCAAAGCTCTTGCCAGAATAGTGGAATCCTTGGTTTGGGGTTTATGCAGATTGGAAATAGTCTGACATGAATGGAAGGTGGCTGGCACTCTCCGTGTTACTGAAGTCACCTCTTGACACCACAACAAAGACCCCTGAAGCTGTGTCGGGTTTTGAGCTTAATTTCTCATGGCAGCAACTCTTTTTATTATTTATTTATGTATTTATTTTTACCCCTGTTAGACTCTTGTGTATTTCTTGAAACTTGTTGCTTATAGCATAAAACAGGGCTGCCCACCTCGCGGGCTGCCTGTGGCCCAGGAGAGGTTAAGTTGTGGCCCCTGAGCTCCCACCTGACTGCGGCCCCCCTTGCTGCTCCACCTGCAACAGCAGCCAGTCTTCAGGCTCCTCCGTTCTCCAGCTGCTGCAGTATGGCACAGCAGGGAGCTAAAAGCACTTCCAGGCATTATGCATGGCAGGAGAGGGGGTTGGGGAAGCAGTGGGGGTGCAGTGTGGCAGTAGGTGGGCACCTGGTGCAGATGTGCAAGGTGGTGCTTATTCAGAGCAGGGGAACATACATCCATGTGGTGTGGCCTGGTAGCCTGTGGCCTGCCTGGTGAGGCCCACATGGCGTACAGCCTTTGCAGGGCTTAGAAGTTGGACAGCCCTGGCCTAAAGTATGGGGAAAATAAAAATCCTGGGTAGAAAGATGATGGAACTGAGGGGCTGCACTTAGGTTGTGTTATTTAGCTACTTGTCAAATGCAGTTTAAGGGGCTTTTTTTTTCCTTCCACTTAAATGCTGGTTGTAAATTTTAGGCTTCAAAGAGGGTAACCCATAAGGTTTGCCTCCAAAAATGTACTGAGTGATATGCATTTAGGAGCCCAGCTACTGCTCTGAACAGCATTATCATTTCTTTTGCTTCTTAATTCTTCCTAATGAAGTAAGTATAAGATTAACAAACCTCACCCTTATCCAGTGGTACACTCCAAAGCAAAGCATGAACTCTGTTGTACAAACAGCACCACAGTGAAACACAGCAAACTAGTGCTCTGCACAGCAGAATGAGATCACCAAAAGAGACTTTTACTTTTGTGCAGTGCCATGAGATCATTAATGAGCTTGAAAAATACATGGTATTAAAGATGGTTTTTTGAAGACCCACACATGACAATCTGCCATTCTACCAAGGTGGCTGAACACGTCCTATTGGGATTGGACCTTGTGATCACAGGAAATTTAGTTCTTTGAAAGTTGCTCTTTCGAATACTGAAAGAGCCTCTCTTGCTAGTTCACTGAAGCAGGAGGCAGTATAGGATGGTAAGCAGGATACCGGACATGTGATCAAAGGGGACTTGCTTGTTCTCTGATCCTGGCTCTGTCTGTGCCAGGTTGTGATTTTGAGCAAGTCCCTTTACTTTGCATCAGCTTCTTCAGATGTAAAACGGGGAATATTTGCCTGCCTTTGTGAAGTGTGCTGAGATTTGTGGGGTGAAAATCACTACCTAAGACCAGGTATCAACTCTTGCTTATTAAAGAACTCTGTTGTTGAGGAATTAGGGGGCTGGGAATGACTATTACAGTCACATCTGTCTATCTTAAAGGAGCACATGGCATCAAATACCCAAGATTTTTTTTTTGATTACTTCGGTGTTGATGACCTTTTATTATGTGCATACTGGGCTGCTCACTTACATGAACCACATCCCTTGTGATATTGGTTGTCCTTGGTGCATTTCATCTAAAGCCCATAAAAGGGCACTGATTTGTCTTACGATAAAATACTTTCACAAGAAATGCAATTGAGGGGCAGAGCAATGCATCAAATATTACCATAATATGCCCTTCCTTTCTTTTTATGTTCTTTTAACCTCTCTTAACTCTGCTACTTTTTGAGCTGCTATGGCATCTGTGCTGAAACATCTGAGCTCCTGGAAAACTATTATGTGGTTGTGTTTGTGTGGGCAAGAATGCTATTTTGAAGTGCAGGATTCTTTATAAAGGCTAATATTCTGCTCAGTGACTATCCAAATGCACTCATCTTTTATGCCGAATGGTGTGGTTTTGTTCCAAAATCAGCATTAGAGTAGATCTGTTAAAGTTACAGTGACTTAGTTCATGTTGCTGCAGGGGCAGGCACACAATTAAAGGGTAACAGCTTGTGATTCTTCGCAGCAGCTCTCCCCTCCCCTTTTAAAGTGGTTAAAAGTGACAGTTGTCCATGAGTCTGTCCCTGTGTAGTTTGTAAGAGACATTAAATTCTAAGAGGAGGGAAGGGAGACTGTCCCTTCTGGGTCACTCAGTCCTGCTCCTTTCAACTGAAAGGCCTTACTACAGTGACTCCCCCATCACAAACAACTGAGCCTGGATGAGTGTTGACTGCACATAGGAGAGTTGTGAGCTACAGGTAAGGCACAGAACAGTTCTGATTTTTAATTTTAAAGATATTAAGGGCATGAAGCTCTTCCTAAAACGATTCTAAATCCCCATTGCTACAAGATTGTTAGTACAGGATTCAAATGGTTTAGTTAACTTCCCAGGGCATGTACTGTGCCTTCTCCTAGGCTTGGGAAGTATCTGACAAACAGAGGGAGCTACCAGAAGTAAACTGTTTCAGTTCTGTTTCTTAGATATTTCCAAGTACTAAAAGTCCAGACTTTTTCCAGTCCTTACTCAAATCGCACTTCAGAGATGGTCTCATTTTGGTGAGTGAATTTCAGAATTGCCAGCAATTTGGAGTTAGTTTACAACCCCTTAAAATGTTTCATTTCAGCAGTCTCTCCTGATTCCCTGACCAGGAGCCATTGAGCAGTCTCTTGTACAAAACAAAAGTGGGCTGCAACTTCTAGAAATGAAAGTCATATTCCTCCACCCCACTCCCCCTTCCCCCCAGAAATACAGCCAGGTCATTATGGCAGCTTGCTATTATGTGGGAAGGCTTACTCCATGGGACGTGTATGCATTGCTAATTAATGGCAAGAGTGGCAGCCATTTTGATCACCAGAGGTAGAGTTCTTCAGCCAAAGCCCTTTAGCAAAAGAAAGCTACAGCTTTTGAATGTTGCTCTATGATCTGAGCCATGTGGAGCACTGCTTTTGTGGGAGGGGTTGCAGAGGGAAAATGTGAGAAGCTCAACATGACTTTAATGGGCACTTTAAAAATTAGGTTTGAGGCCTTGAAGTAGATCCAGAGCCTGATTGCCTGGCAGCATAGAGCATGGGGCCCTGCAGTAGTAAGCTCTCGTTGGCTTGCCTTCCTGGGAAAGCAAGCTGCCGCCTGTCTGGGTACTGCTGACCCAGCAGTAGCTCCAACTTCGATTATGCTGGAGCGCGCTGCTAGGGTGCAAGTGACAAAATCAGATCACTGTTTCACAATAATGGGACTCAATCTTTGGGGCTTCTGAAACAGGCGTTTCTGGCTACAGCTACTCCTTGGATGTGCAGGGGGAGTGATGAGGACTGCGCTTAGTGTGTGCATGGTGTTAATACACGGGACAGCTGATCACAAAATGACATGCTCACAGCTGCCACCAGATCATTTATGCTTCCTCTCTTCCAGTCAGTGTCACCTCCTGCTCAGCCTGTGCTTGCCTCAGCTGCCTTCAAATCCAGCTGCTTGGTTTACCCCAGATGCTGGAACACCTCTGTAACTTGGTTACAGATGCAGACCTTCATCTAGCATCTTAGGATGTTCCCTAATGACCAAAAAGAGATGTTAGTAAGGCCCTGAAGGACTCCACATGAAAGGTGAAGAGAAGCTGTCCCTCATGGCATCTCACAGTTGTCACTACTGTTGCTGTTGTGACTGCAGTGCAAGGTAGAAATACCAAAGCTATCTTTTACCTAATAGTTTGCACACTGAGAACATTCTTGCCATAGGAGCAGAGAGGTCAACACATGCTGCAGTAACTTCCCCAAATGCAGAGTATGTAGCCCACAGGTGGCAAACCTGTGGTACACGTGTCACAGGTAGCCTCTGTGTGTGGCATGCAGCAGATAAGGGAGGGGACAGGCAGCACAGCAACAGAAAGGGCAAGAAGCATAAAGCAAAGCAGCAAAACTTGCAGGGACTACGGTATAGGAAGCAGAGCAGCACATCAGGTAGGGTGCCTAGAGCAGGGCAGCAGATTGGGCAGGAGAAGGGGATCTGGTGGCACTTGGGGCGGCTACAAGGCTAGTTTGTGGCACACCTGCCAAAAAGTTGTCCCCCTTTGTGTTAGCCCATGTTGCTTTCTGTGTGGGTATAAGTAGACTGGTCTCCAAGCTGTCTGGTTTAAATCAGCTTGGTTGTCTCCAAACTCCACTGTTGTGACAACAGCATAGACGTATCAGAGGAAGCAACTCTCTGAATCTCCAAATGCCTTATGCTGCTTTTGGCATGATGCTTTTTGAAGGTGCAGATGTCAGTGGAAGACTGGCAGATTTCATTGAAAGACTAAAATGAATGTTGGCAGCTCCAATTATTGTGGAAAGTGTATCTGGTCTAAGATGCAAAAGATGAAATTTTTCTCCATTTTGGCACGTTAAATGAAGATACTCTGATCTTTGCCGGAGGGGGTAGGATAGGAGGGTCATGGGAGATTCTGGGGTCTTGCTTCTTCATGTTGGTGTTGTCGGCAGCATTGAAAGTTGATAGAAAATGCCTGCTTAGCAGGGCTGCTCACTATTCTCTTCGGTGTGGGAATTGGAATTGTTAGTCTCATGACTTATGCTGCTGCCAGAATCTCAGTTCATTCCCTTGTCTGTGCTGCCCATAAATATCCTCCCGAGTTGGAACACCACCCACAACCCCATCTTGATTGTGTCAGTGGAATTGGCAGCATCCCGACATGGATTTCTCACTTTGGTTTGAGGTCAGTGCCATGTTATACAGACCTTCTGGATGATCCTAATCCGATTTTCTATGTTTCTCATTTTTGTTCCTTTTTATATGACAAGCTTTGCTGCCTCTCCTCCTGAGACTGTCTCTCTTAGCTTTATAGTATCTGACACCTGACTGGATCCCCATCCTCTGTCTGTGATTGTGTGCCTGCCTAAATACATAAACTACAGACTGTCCCCCTTTTTTCTGATGGACTGTCCTGAAAGTATTGCATCCTAAAGTGTATGTTGCATATTAGCTGAAGTTGAAATTAGCTGGGAATGTGTGTGTGTGCACACACGTACGGACCTGTATATAAAAATAGCACGGTAAGGTATATCATGGGAGAGATCTCTAATCTATTTTTCCTGAATTCTGCCCAAGAAGCTAACTCTCCACTAAGGTTACTATTAATGCGGTAAATGTGAAAGCAGACTTTTTTCTCTTGAATCCAAATGTGTAAAATAATACATAGCTGGTCACTCTGATTGAGAGGGGAAAATAACACTGATCACAGCTGAAAATAGTTTAAAATTTAAAATAGTTCTTTAAATGTAGAAGACCACTAAGTGTGCAATGTGACCATCCTGTGTGCATACAGATATATAACCTCATCAGATAGTCTTTGTTGCTTTTATTTTTTTCTTTCAACAGGATCGATGTTGAACAAACTGCAGTGCTCAGGCAGTATTTCAGTTCTGATAATTACTCTCTGCCAACTCATAGTGTCCTCAGAATTTGCTGTCTTCATTGCTAGTCTTCGGTTGGTGTAGTGTTACCAGGGCAGACTGAAGGGGCATGTTTGCGTCCAGGGATGGTTGCATTTTGACAGCAGTTAAAATTATGCTTGTAGTTAGGCTGTAAATGGCTTTGGGGGCTGTTGAGATGAAAGGTCCTTACAGCAGGGGTAGGCAACCCCTGGCATGGGTGCCAGCATGGCATGCAAAGGCACTTTGCTTGGCTTGTGCACCTTGAACTGGATGGCGGGTAAGGGGCTGGGGCTGCGCTGCCACAACAAGGATTGGGCCCCTCGTGGCTCCCCTGCCATCCACCCCTGGCACGCCAGCATCTTACAAGTCAAGGTTGTGGGTGTTTTTGGCACTGCCCAAAAACATACCAACCTGTCCTACAGTATATAAATGTATCAGGAAGCTGTATGTTACTGTCACTAACATGAAACAGGTATTTAACATGCTGAGTGATCTAGAATTTTTGTAACAAAATTTTAAGGAAGATGTATATCTACTGAAAAGGAGCGCATGTGATGTGTATTGGTTTTGACTGGCCTCTTACTATATAAGTCAGTACAACATAATATTTGACTTTGCCAGTTCAACTTTTTATTTATTTTTTATAAAATCCTCACAAGCTTGTGTAGCAGATCAACTGGTTAAACAAAGAATAGAATTCTCCTTTGTCTTGGGAATTTGCCATCTAAGTCCATTGAGCAGGACTGTAGGATGGCTCCGAGTCACTGAACAGGCATGTTGTTCAGAGTTTTTGGACAGCAGGTTAGCATATGGCAGGTTTGGAGAACTTCCCAATGTAAGGAGCAGCATGAGCAAAAAAAAATCATGAGTGGCAGAAAATTAGATGCAGTTGTAAAGATCCAGTATTATACTGTTCTCACAATTTTGCTACCACTAGTTACCATGAATTAAACCCACTGAATGGAAAGGATGGGACTGTTTGTAGGTTTAGTCCCTGAGGCCATGCTGCTGTGCCTAACACTGCTACTTAGTCGCACGTTCAGCTGGGAGCATCTTCTTTCCTGTCCTGTATTTAGCTGCAAGAATGAGGATGCTCAGGACAGGCCACCTCCTTTTTGATTCAGTGCATATGCAGCTGATTCTACTGGAAGTGATGGATCATGTTTTATGGCCTCAGCAATACTGTTTCTGGCCACAGATAACACTGGTTGAATTCAGAGAGGGCTTTAATGACGATTGCAATTGGCTAATTGATGTGGTGGGGTGACCAACATTGTGCAGTTACTTTTAACTACTCTTCACTGGATACAGTCTGTGGAAGATTAGGGTTCTGCTTTGAATTAGCAGTCTCCTCAAGTGAGCTGAGCAGAAAGCACAGCTGCAGGCACACCACCTCTCAGCCATGTCTTTTAACAGCAGTGTCTCCAGTCCAGGTGTAAATAACAATGCCAGTGATGTCAACATCAGTCCAAGAGTCTTCTGAACTCTTTAATTTGGGCTAATGTTCATGGATCCACCAGGACCCCAAAGCCTGCTCTGATCTCAGGTGTGTTTTGCACTCTGGGACTTTTCCAATAGTTCTGCAAGGTATTAGAGCCACTGCCACACTCAGTACTGAGAGCATGAAGAACAGCAGAGCGGTGGTGGTGCCGATGATGTTCAGGAGTCCAGGGTGCAAGCTGTTGAAGTACATAGTCCCTGAGCCCAACTGACACCTGATGGAAAGACTGGGGCTGGGGCAACTTCTGTTGCACTCTGTCTTAGTCTAGAATTGGGCTGAATGACTAGACATTTCTAGTCAAATAGTGGCAAGATTTCAGGGAGGACAGGCACCAAAGTCCTAGCTTCCCTTAGGACTTGAGTTACAGAGCATGTGTCCCGTTGTCAGTGCAATGATTCTCTGGAAGTGTGTGATCTTACAGAATGTGACCTGTTTGCAGGCTGGCTGTAAAAGTTGTGTGCCCTTTTTTTTAACTGCAGACCCTGAAGCGCCAGAGCCAATTGGCACTTTATTTCTTTAATACCATCCTAGCTCATGGAGATCTACGGAACAACAAACTAAACCAGCTGTCTGTCAACCTCTGGAACCTTGCTCAGAAGCATGGCTTTGCTGACACCAAGACCATGGTAAGGATAGCGAGGAGCGTGCTTTCTTCAGGGAACAAGGGTTCTCTTGGTAATGTTTTATTGGACCAACTGTATTACTGGGGAAACATCTGATAAGCTTTCAAGCACAAAGTGCCTTCCTCAGGTCTTTGTTGTTTTAGGCATCTTACTTACAATTGTGAAAAAGATAAACTGATTAATTACCTTCCTTAAATGAAAACATTGTCATTTAAATTGAGCATATTGATTTCTTTAAAGAACTGTTTGATTGGAAGATACCTTAAGAATGAGTCCTAGGTAACGTGAACTCTTCTATATTTAGGCTGCCTGAGCACTTTCCTTGCATTTAAAAAATATTTCACCCTTCCATTCAGTCTAAGAGAACTGAAATTCTGGATACAAGAATAGTTTTCAGTACCTGAAATGCTTTCATATGTCCATACAGAAATTCAGTTTCAAGAAAAGTATACATAAGGACTTGTGCTCTCCTCTCTTCTAGGTTAAAACACTAGAATACATCAAGAAGCGAAGCAAACAACCTGAAATGAGTCATTTTGCCGAGCTGGCATTAAGACTCCCACTGCAGTCCAGGACCTGATGAATGTTATCCTTCCCAGGGAGTCATCTGTGCAGAGGGGCACAAAGCCAAGTCCATAAAATGTGGTTTATGCTGGGTTTTCATTGGAGTTTTAATGTATTTTTATTTTTAAGTTTTACTTAGAACGTAACATTTATTGGGACAAAGGTAAAAAGTAAAACTCCTGACATAAGCTACAATAATTTGAACTCCGTTTGTTTCCAGATGTGCCATTAAACTCTGATTTAAATGCTAACATAGACCCAGTAAAGTGCATATTTAAAATTTCTGATGGTATATAACTTTCCAACCCCTAATCTGACCTGACTCTAACAACAGAGGAAGGAAATCCACATATATAAATTCAGAAGCCCCCAACTGCTTTCCATTTGCAAGGCAGTCTATTCTCCTATGTGGAAAGCAATGTTTTCATATAACAGTCTACTTAAAGAAATCAGCAGTAGTTCTAGTTGAGATGTATAGTTCTCAGATGCCTTATTTTGGATTGTTTCCAGCATTTATATGTCCATTTCCAGTAAAATCTGGACATGGCTGAGATACTACTCTTCTGGATGTGAAAAAATCTTCTTGGTTACAGACATGTTTATAGCTTCATTTTAGTCTAAAACTGTTCTGTAATTTTCTTCCGTTTTATCCAGCAATCAATAAGAAGTCTTTAGAGGAATATATAAATGTATTCAGAGAAATTCTGTGTATTCAGTCAAAATGAACCATATCATTAAATAAAACTGTTAATGTGCAGTTTAGTTCATCTGTTCTTTTTCACTAATGCAGTCATCACATGACTGAAATCCTGTGATTATTTGTTACCTTTGCTTTTATGCTGCCTAAAAATCCTACTCTACTGTTTCTCATCTTTGGCAAGGAGCCATGATATGAGGTTGCAGCTACTGTTTGTGCTTTAGTTTTGTGCTTTACTGCTGTTTGTGCTTTAGTTTTGGTTGCGAGTTCAGGTAATTACTGAGCTAATTTCCAAGCAATGACTAGGAATGAGTTAAATAATTGAAGCAAATTTTACATAAAAATGTTGCCTTGTGCAGAGGTTGGAAAATTATATGAAGGGGTAACTAGTTCACAGGAGTGAAATTCTGTAATAACTGCTCCATGAGTGAGGGAATGTGTAATGTTTAATGTAGGTTGGTTGGTTTGTTGGTCTATTTTAATTTGACTTTTCACATACTCTCCTTTATGATCCAAGTGACACCTCTGATTAAAACAAGGGGTTCAAAGCCCCAAGACATGTCTTAGCTGGAGAGTGCAGGAGCTGATCCAGGCAATGACTGCAGGTAGTACTAGATCTGCAGTGTTTTTTCCTACTTGCTTTGCAGATGTTCAGTATTTTCAATAGTACCACTTGCGTGGGTTAAAAGTGGATGCAGCTTCCCTGATACTGAAGAAAAAAGGAAGTTGACTGATGTAATGATTGGCCTGAGGTGGTGAATGACTGCTACAGTTGCCGGGCAACCACTGGATTCTGTGCGACATAATTTGACTGTGTAATGATTATATCAAAGGGTCCAGTTGTCAATGGACACAAACTGCCTATACTGTAATACTGAGCTCACAATGCAGGGTTATAGAAGACTAAATGAGTGATTGGATGCTTAATTTTTAAAATGAAGTTTGGAAATTAGGTTTTTCAAAACCAATTGTGTAGGGTATGCAACTGTTACAAGAGTTTCTGATAGCTGCACCACATGGAACGATCTGTGCACTGCTTGTTCCAAGACCAGATACTGGACACGGTCCAGCAGAAGCATAAATCCATGTGGGCACCAGTGGCTCTAACTCAGGGGTGGGAAATTATTTTGGCTGGAGGGCCACTTAATGAGTTTGAGAGCTGTTGTGGGCTACGCACATAAAATCTTTCAGATCTTATTTTAACAAATGACAGATATATTAAAAATCAAACATCTACTGTAACACGCTGTCATTTTATTTAAAACAAAATTGATCTGGTTTAGGTTTTTTTGAGTAATGTATATAGAAATGATTGCATAGTAGCTCATCTTGTAGTGTGTACATGTGTGAGGGTTTGCCTGCACACTAGGTCCCCAGAGCTGGTTGAGAGTGGAGGGAAGGGGGATGCATGCAACAGAACTTGCCTGGGCAGTGTGGTGCAGGTGCAGTCTGCCACCCCCTCCCCCCAATCTGCCCCACACCTGCCCCCATGGCACTCTGCATGGGGCTAAGCCCCACCTGCCCCTGCCTGGGGCAGCCCACGCCACATTCCCAGCTCCACCCACCCTGGCTCCCATGCACAGCTTCCTGACAGAGACAACAAAAAGCAGCAGAATGTGGCTACATCCGATGCATAACTTCTATCTGCCTGGGCATGTTTTAACCGAAGAGCAGTTCCTCTGGAATCCAGTGAATGCACTCTGGGTAGATATCTGCTCTACACATTTAGTACTGTACCGTCATTACTGGGCTTGCTGTTTCCTTGTACAGTACAGTGGTGATCTTTCTCTTGTAAGATTGCAGTGTAGAAAGTGTACAAGGATGCTTGTCCCATTGGTTGCATGGCTGATGCAGGTCGCTGATACACGAATGGTGCAAAACACCAGGATTGTATAGCTGGTACAGAGAAAGAGACACTGCACAGCCCTGCACCCTAGTGAGCTCAGGCTCGCACAGCCTGACCTGTAGTGTTGTCATCCTCTGTTTGTTCTTACCTTCAGGCTTCCAGTTAAATCTTCCAAAGCACTGCAGCTACTTCCAGAGTTGCTGTCAGCCTGCAAATGATTTATGGCAGGTCCACAAGCAGTTCCCCAAACCTATCAACCACCTTTCTTGCTCTGAGTCCTTACTTTCTTTCACGCCTGTTAGTAAAGCAGAACTCATGTAGAAGATTTAATTAATGACCAGGCATTGGCGTAAAGGGACTGAACTAGGTCTAGTTTAGAAAGTGGTGGTGCCATCCCTTGTCACAACTAATGCAATACTTGGTGCATTGCTGCTTCACCATGCATGTCTTTTATAGAGAAGGTGCACACATTGTCAATAATGGCACCAGCATACCACATTAAAGCTCACTTTAATGTGCAGATTACACAATATTTTGTCTCGAGATCTGAACCAGTCTTACCCCAGTCTCTGAGCTCCAGCAGCCAAGTGGAGCAGCTGTGGGTGAAGTAGAAACCCCTCGAGAGGGGCAGACAGATCCGCAATGGGAAGTTTGGTGTCAGCCCTACAAATCCCCCTGCTTTGTGAATGGAGTTTAGCTGGCTCCTTTACTGGCTGTGTAATTGTCACAGGCAAAATTTCTCTGATAATTAGGTACCTCTGAGCTAGTCTGGAAACAGACAGGCATCAGTCTCATTTAAAATAAGCCAACAGGTGCTTTCAAAGTAAAAGTGAAGCTTAGGTACAAAGAATAAAAATGTTCACTATAAATATATACAGATCTGTTAAAACATTGTAGGACTTTACTCAGGCAAAGAAACAATGGAGGAATGTGGTGCTGCTGGTCACTACCTGGTTTTACAACATGTGTGGTTACAAATTAATTGAGGTGAGACTCCATCTACCATGAGTGCAGGGGCCAGCCTGAATAAAGGTAGGAAGGTCAGTGTGGGTGTGTTTGCCTTGAAAATGACTAAAACTACTCAGCTCTGCTGTTCCTTCTGCTGACTGAATTTGGTACCTGACCACTGCTTTGCAGAACCAGTTCAGCTGAGAGAGAGTAAACTGGGCTTCTTACTGACATGCATATCAACAGCATTATGTTCCAACTGCAAGGCAATGTGTGAACCTGCTTTTAACTGATACTCTTGGTTTTAAACCCATACAATCCCAGTGCAAGTAAGGCATCACTTGAAGATACAGATATAAGTGCATTACAGTCTGCAATGTCTTCATTGGGAGAGGATGAACTGCATGAGTTCAGGCTTCAGCCTTAGCTTAGGGAATTGACAAATCACCATGTTTCTGTGGCTCATTTTGCACCTGTGCATACACAGCCCCTCTTGTTCTGACAACATCAACAGCCAGGATCCCCCTACTTGCTACTTAGTGTGATCCATGCCTTCCCTTGAACACATGCAGGTTTTACCCTTTTAGCAAGGAGATAAAAGCAGTTTGATGGTAGCCTGTGGACCTGTGCGAAGCAGCTAGTATTCACTTCGGAATCGGCTGATTCGGGGGGGACAGTGATTCAATTCGGTGATTCAAATCACTGTCCCGATTCGATTCAGCCGAACCTGATTCGGCAGCAGCCAAATCTCCGAATCATCCATGCCCACCCCACACCCATTCTCCCAGCCCAGCAATGGCTGCCCCAGCTCCTGGCTCTTTGAAAAAAAGCCCTAACTCACTGGGTGCTATAGGGTGGGGGGACGATCCCTGCTGCCCCATGCTGCGTAGGGGGCTCTGCACGAGCCTGACCCCCTTCCCCCCGCTATCCCAGCACCCCCCATGGCTGCCCTGCCCACTGCAGCTCTAGCCCTTTAAGAAAAAAAAGTGAGAAAAACCCCTGGACTCAACGTTCCTGCCAACAGGGGTCGATCTCCACTGCCCTGCACTGCACAGGGGGCTCTGCACGAGACCCCTGAGGCCGCTGCAGAAGTGGTGAGTCTCAGGGCTTTTCTCAGGCATCCTCCGATAGTCTCTTCCCCCCTACTTATCAGCTTGGAGTCCGGCTGCAGTTCCCTGCTGCAGCCACCGGGGAGTGCCCGAATCATCAAAGCTCTCTGAATCTTTTCTGAAGATTCGAAGAGCTTCGAATCGATTCGGACCTTTTAATTGGTCCCCGATTCGATTTGGCCACCAAATCGGGCCGAATCTCCTCCGAATCGAATCAGCACCCAAAGCTTCGCACAGCCCTGGTAACATGCTGTGTGGTAAGAGGAAAAAAAATGAGGATCAACAATGCCTCAGCACATTTGAGACTATCCAAACATGCTAGTAAGGGGAGAAAATAACTAGTCTCTTCTTGCAAAGTGAGCTACTCTATGGTGGAAGTCACCGGCATAACAACTGCTTACTCTGCTATGCTTAGTCATTTCAGAACCAGAGCTGTATTAAAAGTGAAAGCTCTTACTTTTTTTCTGCATGCTTATAACCACTAGCCACTTAGAACTTCTCAAATATCAAATCCTTCTGGTTTGGATCTGTGCATTTGTTTCATTCATGCATATTTATAACTGCATTTCATATTTTGTGCTCTCCTGTTGGGTTGCAACTCTACAGCTAGGAGATAATCCAGAGGTTAATAAATAGCAATTTTATTCCAGTTGTTCTGTGATTTTAACTTGCACAAGTTTTGTATGGCTATGAAAAATTACTTTGCTTCCTACAAGACTGTCCCACAGTTTGACAAATCTGGGGCCACATCTTGTTTACAACAGTTTAACTGGATGTTAACCAGAAGCAGGAATTAGCCCTTAAAGCAAAGTATCAGAACATAGATTTAAAACAAGTAGAACAGTCAACAATGCTTGTTAGCTACAGGGGTAACACTAATCATTTAAGAAAGATAACGGTAACTTTGTTTAAAAGAAGTAGCTCTCTAGTCAGGCCTCTTTCAGAGGTACAGCACTCAGCAGCAGAAAATTGAGGATTTTACTTAACCTTTGAGCCCCTGTGAGTCACTAAAATCTGTTTTAAAAAAGAATTTACAATAGTCTTCATTCTAAAAAGTAAACAAATACTTACAAACTTTAACCTGTCCCCAGCTATGGCTGAAGGAGTCATGCTAGAAGACTTCCAGGCTGTGTTCGGGCAAGACCCTATCCCCATGTGCGCTGAGGCTTCCAGTCACTGCCTCACTTGAGGTTGTGACAAAAGTTGCAAATTTTGTGTTGAACGTAAGTTTGCAATGCTCCGTAGCTTATTCCAAATAAACAGCTGTGGCAAGTAACAATTGAGTTTCCATGCTGCATTTTCATCCCTTCCATCATACTGCACAGTTTAGTCCTCAAATTTGATAGATCTAGAAGCATGCTTGTCTATGTATATTTTTTTGCTGACAGGTTGGAATCCCAGGCCAACTCTTCTGTGGTGCTTCAAGTTCATGGCTTTCTCAAACTCCATATGCAGAGCCTGCTTTAATTTTTCTTCCTCTTCCCTGCTCAAAGCCATGTTTGGCTTCTCTGTGATGGCTGGTGGATCTTGGACTGATGCAGAGCCCTTCTTAAAACCACCCATGAGTCTGAGGAACTTTGCTTTTTCATCTGAACTTTCAAAAGCAGCTGTGCTCCACTGGCCAAACTTGGTGTCCTGCAGAACAGAACAAGATTATTAATGAGGTTTTCCTCCAGTAGATCAGTAAAACTGAATAACACCAATGCAAACCGTTGCAATCACCAGATGTTCCAAGAAAATGCAGTATGCCAGGGTATGGCTACTGCTGCCATTCCACCTTCCTGCAGAACATAGGGCTTTGACTGGTGCGCTAACATTCACCCATGCTAACTGCAAATGTAAGGTCCTATGTGACTGTGCTCAATCGCACACAGCACTTTGCATGCTGTAGCCTGTAATGCAATAAAAGAAAAGGTACAGCTACTAATTAGCAAGGCAGGGAGTTAACACTTGGGATTGATCACTGAATACTTCCTGCTGCTTTTCCAATCTAGTCTGTCATAGATTACTGCTATGTTTTCCACACTTATACCCATTACCTGCAGTAGAGAAATTCTGCAGGACAAGGCAAAAAGCTTCTACAGTCTAATATCGCTCTGGCTTTGCTTAGTATTAAATGCCTCAACTCTTCTAAAGCCTGTGCAGAAATACTGCAGCACTGTCCACTGGTTTGCAGTATAGATAAGCCACTTAAGGACAATTACAGAATTTCCTTCAACTATATAATGTTTACAGTCTGTCTTGTGGGCTAAGGCCCCAGGCAAACCTCCAGAGATAAGCTAGGGTATGTTCAATAACTGCTGTCTTTCTGAAGCCAATAGAGAGAACTGCCATGTCAAATGGAACAAAATGTGCTTAATTTTAAGACCATAATGAAAAAAATGGGGAAGGGGTGGGGGTAATCCCACAAGAACTCTGTTGAGCTGAGCTGTAGTCATTGCATCACCTGCATTTCCTGTCTCTTGTCTTCAGTGTTTCTTTTTTCCTCTCCCTTCAGACATTCAGCTTCCCTGCCATCTGGACATCTCTCCATTCAAAGACGAGAGCCTTTACAGGCCGCTCTTAAGTTATACTAACTAGTTTGCAACTCGTCTTTTCAAGAGCAGATTTCAGACTTGTCACCTTCTGGTGAATACTTTTCATTTTCCTATATAGAGTTAGGCAGTAACAACTTTTTCTAATGAAGCTGGCCTTGCTAAGAACAGTGGACATTTCTAGATGTGCTCAGGTGGGGGAGGGGACACTGATACATGTGACACTGGAGTCTGCTGGAGCGCAGTAATTACCACACTCCTGCAGACTCTATTAATCAAGCCTGCTTCGATACACTGTAATTACTACATAATTGCAGTGCATTGGAGCAGCCTCACTGTACATGTATAGGCACCCAATCACATGATTTCTTCCCCAGTTCATTACTGATTATCTGCTGCTCACAACAGAGATTCATAATTCATTCATAAGCCCAGCACCAATGTAGATAGTTTTCTCATTCTTTAGTTCTGGATTTTGCTGCTAATGAAGGCAGGAGTTCCCAGCAGTTCCAGTCTTACACAGCAGAGCATCTCATCTAGGGTCCTCTCCTTTTTATTTAGCTAAATTGTACATCTGCTTCTCCCAGATTCAGTTTTACTATGTGCTAAATGCCAGACTATTTGGGAGCTAAATTTAGGCCAAGCTGCCTAAGGGCAAAAGCAAAATGTCTACCTTTGTATTTCTGGACACCAGAGGTTACATCAGAATCAACTTTCCTTCTTCCCACCTCTGGCTTATTTAAGATCACCGCATTATCAGTTAAGTCTCTTTACCCAGGGCTTGAGGCTGATCTGGGAGCTACAATGTAATTGCCAGCTTTTTTATTTTTGACATGACTGACACTTCAATATCACTCTTTGAAATTGGATGCTGCCTGGCTAAATGGAACTATGCTGGTTAATTGGCGCCTAATTAAGAAACTGATAGAGCTGGATAAACTTCAGAATTCCACCCATGAATTCAAATTCAATTTATGTGAAAGCTTGCAAGTCATCCAGCTCAACCCTTGGGTTCATACCAAAACCTTTAGCCTCACTGAGACAGCCAAGAAGCTACACAGCAATACTACACAAGAATTTCAGCACTGGCAACAAGCTACAAGGGCTTGTTATAAATTACAAACACATAATGGCCATTCACCAGACTAAAATACTGCTTTTAAAAGCAGGATTTCCATAGTATGCAGTTTTTATCCTGTTCAAAGTGAAGCATCATTTCAATTTATATTTCAGCTTGTGTAGAAATACTAGTAAAGTTGTCACGCAGCTGGTTCAAGCCAATGTCTGTGACACACAGGCATGCTTGCTCTCTCACTCTGGGATGGAGGTTGCACATCAGCACAGATGCAGAAATAATTACAGCTTTTCAAACCCTATAATTTTTTAGGGTAACTGCTGGCAATTACTACACATGGCTTTTACTGCAGCATTTTCAGCTTGGTCTTTGTGAAGCTTACTAATTAGTCTTCATAGCTCCTATTCTTCAACATGCTAATAACCACTGATAGATCAGCATCAAAGGACTGGGATTCCCTGACAACAATGTCATTTTCTGAATGACTTCAGAGTCAATTAGGCTGTTACAGTTTTAAAGCATAACTTTAAAAATAAAAGCAGGGACTTCATTTCCCAGTCCTCCCCCCAAAGCTATGCAAAAATTTGCATGAGTGTTTTCTAGGGTTTCTACCATTTGTTTGATGTGAATTCATACTTTCCTGGAATACTGGCAGCCTACTCTTGCAGTCCAGACAGCTGAGATAATCCTGGCTATTAATAAGGCCCCCTCCCCTTTTGCATCCTATTAGCCTCACTAAAGACGAGCAACTGCAGCAGCTGACACACGTTACATGCTAAATCTGCCTGGAGTCAAGGAGCAGGAGATGCAAAGGCAAGGAATTGAGACACGCCTGGGAAATGTGAAAGGTTAAAAGATGACTGACTGGGTGGAGAAGGAGAGATCCATTTTTTGCCTTCTCACTCACCTGACCAAGCTTGAGCTGCAATATCTAGTTGGAATTATTCATCCGAGATTTTCTTCCCCAAATACATTGGTCAAATTCTCTGTTCCCTCAGTTAAATGTGCAGAGGCTTCTGTACTTTGACGCACACAGCCATCATCTATTCAGGAATGACCAAATGCCTGCCAAGCTAACATGGAGACTTTAAAATGCACTGGATGAGCTGAATAGTAGTGCTCAGTAGTTTGGGACTACCACCTTGCTCTACACTTCCACTGCTGAAAAACCAGGTGCAAGTGGTTATTCCTTCTGACAGATGTCAGGGTTCAGTAATTCGCTCTTTTTCCACAACTCATGCTATGCAATTTAAAAGCACCGTACAATTAGGTCAGATTTGTCTGTACTGGCATCCCACGGAAATCGCTGGAGTTATACCGGATTAACATTAGTATATTAAAGCCATCACGAATTACAGCATCACACTACCAGAGTTTTCCTGAAGTTTCAAAAGGTTAGATTTTTTTCCAAATACAAGGGACGTGCTGTACTAATTCTAGTTCCAAAGACAGCTCTATTTATGGACTAGTGTTATTTATATTCCACAATAAATAGAAAATGATTTAGCAGCAAATTTATCTTGGCTAATTCTCCAGAGAGAACGAAAAACGCTACTTTTCAGGACTAATGATGGGACTTAGAGGTCCGTACAATCCCCACTGCTGCTAGAGTTCACTGGTCTGCTCCCAGCCTCTCTTGAGATTGGACTAATTTGTTCTGTAGCATGACCTCAAATTTGCAATCAGAAGAGAAGCTGGTGTGCCAGGCAGCACACATGACTAGCATACAGATGGGGGGTTACTCTGGGCCATGTTATCTCATAAGAACAAGCTCTAAGTTCATACGTACAGATTGCACTTTGCTTCTCAAACCCATAGTTTTGCCAGATTCTCGGTCGATCTCTTCTTGCAGGGCTTGCCGTCTCAACTAGAAGATGGAAAAATATTGCAGTTATTTACTGTCTATAAAGAAAGTGTATTTTTGTGTGATTTTTTTATAACTAAATTCACAATATAAGGATGAAGGGTAAAGAAGGCAATCAGAAAACCAATCTGTATTGTTAGGTGCAGCACAAGTGCATTTTCCTTTTGCACATAGTTTCAGAAGGTAAATCCACATTAGCTTCAGATATTACCATTTCTTACAAGTAAGCATCACACACAGCAAATATTTTGCAGTTATCAATCAATATTAATCCTTCTGACTGCAGGTAACAGCTGGGCTGATAGGGGCCAGACAACCAAACATTCAATCTTGATATGCTACTTCAAACCCTTTTTTTTTTTACCTGTCACTTGAGATTTATGTGCTGGCCTTGGCCTGCAGAAGGTACGGTGTTTTCCATGTGCTAAGTAATTCTCTATTCTGTGCAGCACTGGCACAGACTGCCATTTAATTTTTTATTAATATTGTTTCTTACTTACACAGAGTGTGTGTGATCATGCTCTTTATTAGATACAAAGATACCTCCCTGACAGGAAGATATTAGGCCTTACACAAAACTGCAGAGTTTATATAACTGAGACAATACCTTGTCTATATTTATTTCATCACAGTTTCCTTTTTTTTCCCCCACAACTGCTACATCATTCTCAGATTCCTGTAAAACAAGAGGGGAAAAAAACCCTATGTCAAGATGATTAAAGGTGTAATCTTGTTATAACAAAGATCATTTTAGCCAAAAAAATTTCCAAGTCCAGGCCACTGGCAATTAGCCACGCAGTGCCCTGTGCTATTTAGGACAACAGCCATTTCTATGAAAAATGTCATTACACCAAAACTTTTTCCAGCCCCTGCCTATACAGGTTGAATCTTGTTACGCTGAAATATCAGTATGGTAACATTAGCCAGGCATTTCCTTGAAGTTTATTGTAATGTTATATTGGACAAAGAAATATCTACAGAAATCCGTAACACCGACATTTCGGTATGAGTCAGTTATGAAGCCCCCGTTAGGCGACCACTGATTTATCAAACACTTTTTTCTTGCTTTATAGGCAAAATCTCTTCACAGTAAAATTTTTAGTACAAAACAGAGCACCGTCATAAAGGTGGCTGTGATGAGATTCTGCCTGGATCTATTCACGTTATGTGGAATTTACTTAGCACCAAAAATAAATGCGAGAGCAGGCTCAGATGAGATGGACTAAAACCCAGTAAAGTGTTAGGTAAGAAGAAACCATCAACTTCTAAACTGAAAATGACAGCTGATCCTGTGCAGCTTCCTGGAGAAGTTTTCTCCAGGAAAGAGATCTGCTAACGCTTTGCGTAACAGAAACACAATTTTAATAAAAGTCTCTGGACAACTGAAACCCTTTCTTCACAAGAGACTTGTAAACCTCAGGGGAACATATTATAATCTCCTGTGCACATGCTGGTGATGTAGCGACACTTCAAATTACAGTTCTGTAATAATCAGAACCTGGCCACATTCCGCACTGTGTAAAGAAAAGGCTGAGCTGACTGGCATCGAATCTGTGACAAATGTCAAGACATGGAACATACAGAGAAGCCAGCTCACAGAGGTCCCTCTGTTATCAGGTTTGTTGTTGTGCATAATGGTTAATCAAGAATAGGACCTTGTTGTGCCAGGTACTGCTCCCAGAGCAGTATGATCCCTGTCCCAAAGACATTATGGTCTAAATGGAAGGCACAAACAGTGCGAGGAAGGGGGTACCAACATAAGCAAAGAGAACTGGGTGGCAGCAAATGGTATATTGTTTTCACATTCTTGTTTTGAGCGAGTTATGTTAGGAGGGTGTCACTACTAGGACTCTTTTTGCCAGAGCCCTCCAAGGATTGACACTGCAACTTGTCCAATGTGCCCCTAGGCACATATGACCGTACAAGCAGTTCCTTAGATGTTACAGCAGCGACCTTTGGGGGTGCTGGCCTCCGATCCTCTGCTGGGTGTGTGGGATGTCTGTTTCTGGAATCCCCGTTGTTCGAATAAGAATTCCAAGGTTGCTCCTCTCTCCCCAGGTAGGCAACACAAAACACACACTATGTCTTTGTCCGTCCACTACTTTTATAATTTTTTAATCCCAAACTGTCCAAACCCCTGGCTCTGTGCCAAGCATCCCTTATTTGGTGCACCAATCCCCTGGCACCATGCCAGCCACATTCCCTATAAGGAAACTCTTGCTCACCTACTGCCCAATCACAGCACTTGCGTCTCCCAGAGCCACTGTTCAATGTTGTTTAGTTCCGGGAAGGCCCGGACTATGGCTAAAAAGCCTTACCATAACTCAGTTTGCCGGCTACAGAAGGGATCAGCCATATGGGGTGAAGGGAAGGAGTAAGAGCCAGAAGAGTGAAGCCAAAAAGAAAATGGCAGGAGGGAGGGGTGGAAGGGTGAGGCTGGAGCGAACATCCAGTTCTGTCTGTCCAGGGCAGAGAACGCCAGGCTCAACCATACACAGGTCCATGCCTCTGCAACTACTCCAACTGGCTGCTCCTCCACAGCTTTCTGTCCAGAGCCTGCAGGAGCAGGTGGGATGCAGCTAAGGAAGGGAGCCTCCCATGCACAATTCTGCATGCAAAAAGTTGGCCTGGATCACAGGTACCCTCCACACCTTAGTCAGCAGTCCCTGCTTTAGTGGCTTTTGCACCTTCTGGTTCTTCTCTGCCGTTTCTCCCAATCAGTAACAAGGACAGGATTAACAGACAGCCAGTGTAATTGGATACGTAATGAAGAGCCTGGGCTAGTGGAAAATTAACTGAGCCACAAGCTTTTGACAAGCCTGGAGAAGGTGGCCAGAGGAAAGATCTATTGAGAAAGCTACCACAATAATCCAAGCGTGAAATAAGCAAGGAATGCCAGGACAAGGAGATTTGTAGCATACTTACAGGAGCAAGGGCCGCTATTACTTATGCTTGTGGTTTGTTTTTAAGGCGAGACACAGATAATTCATTTCCAAATCTCCCTTTCATGCACAGACACATAAGGACATCTACCCCACAAATGAGGAGGAGATGCTCTTCACTACAGGAAGAGCCCACGCTCTTAAAAAAAGAGAATTTGCTTCTAAATGGCCTACTACCGTCTCTTCAGATTTCTTTAAGACAAGAAAACAAGCAGGGATGACAGGAAAGGACCAAATTCTGCTAACAGCTGCCAAGGACTTTATAGCTTGGAGGGTGGGTGGCAGGCAAGAAAGGAGGAAGGGTGTACACTCATGCCAGGTAATTCCCAAGGAGCTGACCCCCTCCAGGTTACCAAACAGTTGGCAGAACCAGGCTGTCCTTTGTGCTGCGCTGAACCCATAGAAGGTGCATGCAACAGCCCTTTGCAGGAACCAGCCACCAGCAAATAAACAGCTTAGCAGCAAATGATAGGTGGGCTGGGGCATAGACTGCATTTGCTCTGTTTAGTCCAGTGTTACTAGTTATGATTGGACTACATAAGGGTAATGAAGTCTCATTAACAAAGGCACCAGAGACTTTCTGTTGTGAAACAGTGTTGTTTAGTGAGAATGAACAAGATACTTAGTGTGGGGCTTATGCATGTGGAAGCATGCACACAAAGAATGACCATCATTAAGAAGAAAGGCCTTCAATGATCATTACCACTATTGTTTCCTATTGTAACCACCCTGTCCTGCTCCTACAGACACCACCAGCAAAGTTTGTTCAATTCAGCAGGGACAGGACTGGGCCCTTGGACACCACCACAAGGTAACCACTATCATTTTGCTCTCTCTTCACACACGTTTCAGATTGCCAGCCAAATCAATGCCCAAGCAGGCCTATGTCAGTATGCTAAAAGCTCGGTAGTCAGACCCTCAAAGGAAGGCAATACTAGGGACAGTTCAACTCACTGTTAGAAATGTGATTTCAGAGGTTCTAATTCAGCCTTTATATGGGGACCACAACAAAGGAGCTGGAACCTCTCCATCCTGTTAGGATCCCTACCTCCAAACAGGTGTTCGTACTGCTGACCCATAAAATACCCAGTCAGAGCTACATCAATAAGATTAGTTTCCACTTAAGCCAAATTCATTCAGGGATAATTATATCCAGGGGAACAAATGCAAGTCTTAGCTACTAGCTGGAATCACTGCATATTGTCTAAAAAAATAAAACAAAAAAAAACCCCCTTGGCCAGCATGCTTGCTCCACAAGCAGACCAGTGAATTTTCTGAGAGATGCAGCAGTGTGTGACATGCATTGGAGATGAGAAACTGGTCCAGAATTGTGACGCAGTGAAACAGGAGACCAGTGCTATCAGCAGCATATTACAGCAGTGTTAGCAGACCTAACAATAGCCAGATTTCTAAATCTTGAGAGGAATTTCATTGGGGAAGGTTTCGCTATTAATTTAAAGAGGGATGGACATGAATAGAAAAGACAAAACACGTATCTCTCTCCCTATCTCCTGCTGTGTTTTCCAACTAAATAGTTCAGCACCATCATGCAGTTGCATTTATCACTATAAAGCTTATCTTGCCTTTGTATGCATGTGAGCATGCAAATAATGTCTAACAGTCTCAACAGAGGAATATCAATTTAATTAGAAAATTTATCCCAGCAATAAAACCATCTTGTCCTTCTAAAGGTCAAAAAGAAAAGCCTAATAAAGTTGTCTACGTCCCCAAGTCTCCAGTTACCCAATGATAAAGTGCTTATATACATACAAACATACACCCTTCCCGAAAAAGGCTATTTCTGGACTTTCATGCAAGTAAAATAATCCACTTGTACACTGAAATGTAGACTTGAAGTATTGGATCTTAGAAGGCAGTGTGGGTTTCTACAGAATCCAAATCAAGGTACAGGGAGACATACCAAAGCAAAGTACAGTAATAAGTTTCCGAGCACATACTTAAGTCTCCAAGTGCGTTAAATATAAATGGTATCCCAGACTGAACAACTTTGGGAGCCCATCATGACCAAACATATGGCCAATCTTAACAAAAAGTCAGAGGAAGTACAGCAGCTCTCCCTGTAACTGCTGGAGCAAGCTGCCAGCTAGAAAACACTGCTCCAGAGCCAGCCACAGTTGAGGAAGAAGGCTAATTTTACAGTGTTATGTTGCATGAATCGGTGGTTAGTGCAGAAACTAAGGCTGTAAATTCTATTCTCTGCTCTACCACTGACTTATAGCGTGGCTCCAGGTACGTGCTATCTTATCTGGACCTAGCTTTTTCCCTGCTGTAACACCAATGGAATATTAATTACTTCTGGGAGCAGCTGAGACCAAATGTATGTAAAGCTCTTGTAGAGTCTAAGAAGCTCCATGTAAGTATAAAGTATTTGTAGAAATCCTGCCATCTAGAAATTGATTTTTAAATGTGCTGAGCACCTGCAGCTCCCATCAACACTGAGTTGTATGTTCTTCATGCCCATGGCAATCAAGCAGGTCTCTGGCAAGTAAAAGCTAGATTTTGAAAGGTATTTAGGCATGCAAGATGCAGATAAGGAGCCCACTGGGATTTGCACAAGTGCCTGGAAATCAGTGGAAGTTATACCTGTAGGCACTTTTGAAAATCTTAGTAAAGCACGATATCTTTAGGTGCTTATATATATTGAGATATTTGGACTTACGACCATAAAAGGAGAAAGGAGAGAAAATAATAAATGATCATAATAGCATACTGTCACTATTTTTAAGCAGTACTACATATTTTGAAAGCCTTCACAGAGGAAAAAAAATACTGCTTTTTGTGGACTGTTTTTTTAAGGCATGTCAAAAATATTTCTAGTTACCCCTGCCCTTACCATAAGGAAACAGGATGTGCATTTCCCCAAATATATGCCACATACAGCAAGCTCATTTAGAATGAACAGTTAGGGCATCACGGGTTGTAGTGTGTTAAGAGTGCACAATGAGATTTTTTTAAGTCAGCCAAAGCGGATTTTACTTCTAGTTACCCTGGACAAGTTGGACTCCTGGAACTAAAGTTTACCCATCTCTTAAAATACCCAATTTTTCATTTTGCCTTTTAGGGATTGTTTTGATTTAGGATTTAGCACGTTTCCTTACAGATCCTAACATTTGATCAGCTGAGGTTTGTAGGTGAACATTTTAGACCTTGTCTATACTTGGGATTTTCCTCAAATGATACATTCACAGTGGGCATTTTTCCCCCTTAAAGTTTTCCCTTTGCTGCTATAGGTAAGATATTTCCACCACTGGTGGCAACAGTGGGAGAAACTTAAGGGGAAAAAAAAGTAAGTTAAGACAAGGTGCTAGTGGACACTACCATGTTAGCATCTTATGTATTCTAAATGGTCTGTTTGGATGGCCTGGTGGTAAAGACACTGGCTGGCATGGTAGTCTACACTACTATTGCCATTATTAGTGACAAGGCAGAGATATGAGAAAATGTATATATATTTTTAGTGAGGCAAGGCTTTCTTTGTGGTATCTTTTTTGGGACCAACTGTATAGTTGGGAGAGAAATCTGACAAGTTTTCAGGTCTACAACAACCTTGTTTGTGTTGTATGGTGGGTGGACTCCCCTCCCTGCCCCTCGGCACATGGCCTTCTTCCCAGGTATGGGTGATGGCTCAAGGTTGCTCAACTCCTCTCTGTTATCTATTATCATCAGGGATCCAGGTTTTCCATTTCCTACAGAAAAAAACGCAGATTTTCCCTTTCAACTGAAAAAAACCACAGATTTCTCATTCTAACAGAGAAATGTGGATTTTGCACTTTCACAAAGAGCTTTCTACAGGTGGGCAGAGTTCCAGCCTGCAAGGGGCTGGGGGGAGTGGGAGGAGGGTGCTCATGCAGGAGGTACCCTGTGCATGTGTATGCAGATGGCCACCAGCCAGCCTGGAGAGCAGCTCCCACAGGTAAGTCTGGTGGGGGCACTGAAGCCCCCGTAGGGAGGGAGGCAGGGCTGGGACTGTTGTCCAGCTGGGCAGTGTGTAGAGCTTTGGACCTGGAGCTGCAATTCACAGGTGCAGGGCCCTGGCAGGGAGTGTGATGGGGCTGTGGGCAGCTCATCTGGGGGAGTGCAAGCAGGTGTGGCTGGCTCCCTGCCACTGCGCACACTCCTGGGTGGGGCAGGAGGGGCACATGCCCCCCAGATCTGTGTGTGGGGTAGGCTGCAACTCTGTATAAGGTACCGAAGTAGGTGCTCCTGCCCTGCTGCCTTCCCCCTGGGGCTTCCACGACCCAGAAGGTGGGACCCAACATGGCAGGGCAGAGCAGGGCTGGGAGGGGAAGCTCCTTGCTGCTGTGAACCCCATGCCACCCTGATGAGGTACCTGTCTAGCAGCAGTAGGGTGGCAGGGCAGTTGTGCTGCTCAGTGCTGCCCGGAGGGGAGTGGGCAGCCTGCATTTCTACCTCTCCTTCCCAAGGGTTCCACTCCAGCCAAGCAGCGTGTGGGGGAAGGGGAGCCAGGCTCTGCGCTCTGCTTCCTGCTCAGGACATAGCAGCCACTGCCACTGCCCATGGGTGGCAGCTGGGGCTCAGGTGCTGCTGCGAGAGGCAGGGGGCTGTGGAAGTGGGTCCCTGGCTCTGTAGTCCTGGCATCTGGAAGGTTCCTCTGGCAGGGTTGAAAGGGACAGGGGGCTGCAGGTGGGGGGTGAGGGTCATCAGCAGGGCCGGGGGGCTGTGGCTTGGGAGTGAGGGGTCTGGACCTGCATCCTCGTGAGCAAAGAGGGCAGGGGAAGCTCTGATTTTCCATTATAAAAAAACCCAAAATCCAATACAAAAATGTATAGGTATTTAGAATTGATTTTATTACAGTGACAGAGGCTTCCAAATTGTAAATATTGATACACACACACACACACGTGTGTGTGTGTGTGTGTGTGTGTGTGTGTATATATATATATATATATATATATATATAGTGGTGTCTCATTTTAATCATGGATTTTAGGTTTTTTATCGGAGAGTGTGTGTATGTATGTGTGCATGTTTGTTTATCAGAGAATTTGTGATTTTTAAACAGAGAAAACCAGGATCCCTGGTTATCACTGCCACCACCACTTAGCTCAACCACAACCTGGACCATCCTGGCTACAACACTCCAGCTTTACTAAGGTTTTAGATACAGGCTTCCTCTTTGTGCTAACTCCTGCCAGTTCCACAGGTAGTTTGTGTTTTACATTTTTGTTACTGAAGCACTGACTGCAGTAAAAGGCACAAAACAACAAAAGAAAACAAACTGAAACCCCACCGAAACTTCCCTCAGGACTGCTGCGAGTGAAACTATTAAACTCAGCTCCTGAAAACTGTTCCCATGGTTTTTACCCACATCCCTACCATAGCCCCATTTATTTTCCTGTAGCCCTGCCCAGACACAAAGGTCCACGCACACAGAGCAGCTTGTAAAATAGGAGATCTGGTGATTTGGCTTTAATATGTAGAAGAAACACTTGGAGCTTACCACTGCCTCACTATCAGTTTTTTCTTCCTTCATTTTGATCTTTGTCTTCTTTTTCATGCTTGGCTCTTCAGCTGAAGTCTCTGGTCCCTGTTTCTTTCTCTTCTTGGGTTTCTTCCCCTCATAGGGCATATTATTAGTTTCACATGATCCTCCATCAGTGCTGCCCATTGCTGCACCTTCCACTGCCTTCGTTTTGGTTTTCTTCTTTTTATTACTTTTAACTGGTGTGGCTTTTCCACCCATGGATGCATCCTTTTCAACATCTGAAGGAGTTACACACTTAGCTACTTCCTGCTCCTCCTTATGAATCTTCTTTTTCTTTTTCTTGATTATTGCACTCTTGCCTCCAGATTTCTCCTTGCGTTTTTTTCCAGTGAGTACTTTATCTTGGAACTTGTCTTTTTGGTGTCTTGATAGGTATTTATTGGGGGTGCTAGAAGTGTGGTCCTGATTATCCTCACCTGCTGGCAAAGAAATGGTTTTGCTCTTCTTGGTGACGTCTCTGTCACTTTCAGAGTTCTGGACAATATTCTCTCTCTCCGTTACAGGTGTACTTTCCTGGGAACTGATGTCTTGCTTATTTTTCAAGTCACCCACTGGGATGTTGTGATTAGAAGTCCCATGATTATTGTCCACATTACCTTTCAATTTTAGTAGAGAGGTGTGTTTATCTTTCTTTTTCTTCTTTTTTTTCTTCCGTCTATTACTACCGGATTCATCATTCTGGACAATCTCTTTTCTGTGTTTTTTACGAGTGATTTTTTCCTGAGAATTGTTTATATAATTTTTTTGCAGTTTTTTACTAGAAATGTGACATTCACTGCTTTCATTATATTTCAGAGTTAAGGAGAAAGTATCTTTGCCTTTTTTCTTTTTCTTCATTTTGGTTACCTTTCTGTCCCCTTCAGACTTCCGGGTGATAGTCTTTCTGGGTTCTTTACCAGTGAATACATTTTCCTGATTATCTGCTGTGTAGTTTTTCAGTCCTGGGCTGCAGTTCTGACCGCTCTCCAGTGGTAAGAAGTAAAGACCTTTGTCTTTCCTTTTCTTCTTTTTGAGAAATTTAGTTTTTCCTTCTGTTTTTGTTAGTGGTTGGGAATCTGGATGGCTTTCTACATTCACAGAGTTTTCAAAACATGCTTTTTTCTTAGACTTGGAGCCAACTTTCTTTTTCTTAGAATTTACCCAGTCTGAATCCTTCTTTTTTGCCAAACGTTTCTTTTCCCTCACCTTAGGTTTCGCTTGTGATTCACACTGGATGCCCTCTTCAATTTTGATGTCAGTTTGACTCCCAGTGGTTTTCATGGGTTTTGTTTTTTTCTTATGTGCAGTTTCTTTGTCATCACTCCTTCCCTCTTTCTTTACTATCATTCTGAAAAAACAAACGAATGCACAGCTCAAACATTATACCACAGACCCCTTTGTTTAGCACTTCACTGTCTTTTCAAATGTTAATTCTAAGCGTAGCACTTGAATCTGGAGGAAAGAGAACAGTGGCCTTATTTGCAGACACGCACAGCATCCAGCATCCACAGTTCCCTTTGCCTGCATCCAGAAAACCAGCACGTAGCTTTGAAGATCAGAACATAAAAGGTGTTTTGTACAGAAGAGAGACCCATCGGGGATTGCTCTAGACGAGAGCTCTGCCTGCGCTGGAAGCAAGTGACAGCTACTGCTGAAGTTTGTCATAGCTGATGTGGCTTTTCTGGGCCCTTGAATAAGGATCCTTTTCGGAGAGCTCTGCTGGCAACGTTGTTAGAAGCAACCAGTAATGGACAGGCGATGCCTGCATGGGCACCCTGTTATCCAGGGCTCAAAGGTGCGCCCGGGGCATCGGGGATGAGTCCCACCACAGATGGGCTCAATTACACCCAACCACAAGTTAAGAACAGAGAAAAGGAGGGACTGGAGGCATCTGCAGGAGATGCCTGGAGCAAGCAAGTTGGGAGAGGAGTGAGCCTCGTGTTTGCTGCTTGTTACCACAAATACAGCCCCCGGGCAAGGTGTTTGTTGCAGCAGGCTGGGCCCGCCCTTTCCCCGCTCCCCCCCTTCCTCTGC